CTGTCTCTATCTGTTCCAGTTGTCCTCGGCCTGCTTCCATTTGTCCACCACTTTACACGTCACGCAAGTAAAATGGGAACAGGATGAGTGCAAACTATTGTGCAATTCTAGCCCATCTGCTTGGCACGTGAAAAGCCAATGTGTCATGCCGCAAAACGTGTGCTACTCCAGTATAAACCCATACACAAAGCATGTCCATCCTGAACTCTGTACCAAGGTAGATGGTCCATGATATTGGCCCACACATAAAGTATAGTCCATCTGAGAGCTGCTGAAGCCTATTGTGAGCACAACAGTGCAATAGGCTTGAGCCCCAAAAATCAAGCTGGGGCATAAGAGGAAGAGGACAACCTTATAGCAGCGCTGGAAAAGAAAGACGAGGACATAGAAAACAAAATGTCCCTTGGAAAGCACCCGGTTCATCAGCAAGGAGTTATATAGCTATCTTGTTTCCACCAATACGTGGTCAGGTAAGAGGGTCAAGGGACAGGGTTATCTTGTTCCCAAGGTTATTTGCTCACAGTGCATGCAGTGAGCTGCAAAGAATATTCCAGCAGGCAAGGTCAGGCCAATATGTTCAGCCACAGACGCTAGCAAACCATCTGTCCACATCCAAACAAGTTGTGAGGTACCATGAAACGGTCTCCATGCTCATTACGGCAAAAATCCACCAACTGAGGGCGGAAGGGATGAAAGGAAGAGAGGGAGGGATGAGAAGAGGAAACGAAAGAAAGGGACAGACAGATAGGGAGAAAGGGAGAAAGCGAGGATGGCACACACAGAGAGAGAGAGAGAGAGAGAGAGAGAGAGAGAGAGAGAGAGAGAGAGAGAGAGAGAGAGAGAGAGAGAGAGGAGGAAGAAGAAAGGGATAGACAGACAGGGAGGAAGGGAGAAACAGAGGATGGCAGGAAGAGAGAGAGAGAGAGGAGAGTGGAGGAAAGAAGAAGCCAGGGAAGGGGAAGGGAGGTAGAGAGGGGAGTAAAGGAGAGAGGGGGGAAGAGGGAGCAAGGGGAGAGAGGAGGCAGACTGAAGAGAGAGGATGGGAAGCAAGGGGCAGAGGAGGAGGGAGCTAGGGAGGGAGCGACGGGGGAGGGGGAGGCAGACAGAAGAGAGACGATGGGAGGGAGGGAGAAGGTTAGGCGGTTGAGGAAACAGAGATGGGAAGGAGGGAGAAAGGTAGGCAGTGGGAGGAAGAGAAAGAGAGGATGCGAGGGAGGGAGGAGAGTAGGTAGTGGGAGGAAGAGAGGAGAGAGGAAGGAGCAAGGGAAGGGGGAAGCATGAGAGAGGGAGGGCAGGGGGGCACAGAGGGAGAGTGAACAAGAGGAAGGAAGAAAGGAAGGGAAAGGTAAGGTAGGAAGTGAGGGAGTAGGAGAGAATAGGGTGTGGGGGAGAAAGAGGCAGGGGTTTCGCTCAGCAAAGACAGTTGCAGACTGTTTCGTCGGACTTTCACCGACTCATCAGGAGGCTGCAACCTCGACAGTCAATAGAATCCCTACTAATGCCCAGTCTCCCGCTAGAAGTACTGCCCAAAGTGAGCCCCAAAGGGCTCTCTCTCTCTCTCTCTCTCTCTCTCTCTCTCTCTCTCTCTCTCTCTCTCTCTCTCTCTCTC